AAACTGCTCATAAAAAAGCCCTGCTACCCCACCGCCCACAAAAAAATTCGTTTAAGAAGTACAAAGTGAAAAAGTCAAAGAATAATCATTATTGATGAGTCCTACCAAACGAGCAAACGAGAAACAGACCAGAAAACGACAAACTAGCCACTAAAAATGGCATACCATGACAACATCTGTTCTTTATTTATTTCCTCCACAAGACTTACCAAATTCTAGTACTACACAGATTGTGGTTCTCAATTTGCACGTAGCCCTTCAGTTGAAAGAAGCTTTTTAACCGCCTTCGCCAGCTGTGTGTTGACTGGACTTTGGCGTTGACCGTGGAGCAGCTTATTTACTATTGAAATTTGAACAAATATTCAAATGATTATAACTTTCTTCAAATATGACGAATTTTCAATCTGAAAGCAGATTTGGGAGTTTTGTGAAGAGCTTTTCTAATCAGTACTGAAATTACAAAAAGTTATAAGAAATAACAAATTTAGATCAAATTAACGAGGAAAATTCGAGATGAGCACGAGTTTTTACACTTTCCGAAGCAACAACTTGCTTCATTTTCGTCAAATTCGAAAAGTTAATATGGCAGACAAAACTAGAAGATTTTCTCTACCAAACCGTTGCTAAAGCAGCTCTATACGTCCAGTATTCAAAAAATGGCCACGTTGAGGATTTTCTGCAAAATTAACGAGGAAAATTTGTGATGAGTGCGAGTTTTTTTACTTCCTAAAGCCATAACTCCGTTCAAACTCATCCAATCCGAAAAGTAAATACGCCATCATAAACTAGAAGATTTGCTCTATCAAATGCTTACTAGAACTGCTCCAAACGTCCAGTATTAAAAAAACGGCTACGTTGAGGATTTTCGCACGAGTACCGCCGAAAGGTACTTTTTCGCTACATTGGCACTATTTCAACGGCTGTATATCCTTTTAAGGGCGATTATGTACTAAAGTAAGAGCAGATTTGGAATCACTGCTTTTCTCTTTCTAAGAAAAGTGATTGATCAGCGTTTCTCAACTTTAAAGGTTACATGTTTATAAATTTAACCCTGAAGAGTCCGTTAACGCAATGTTGAATGGTGTACACCTCCCTGTAAATGCGCACGGACACTTTCAGAATTCTCTCGATTGTTCCTGAATTGAGGTTGTTTGTCCAAGGAGCCGTAGTTGAAGCGCGCGCAACAACTAGACCCTTTCTCGGATGCGCCGTGTACCTCACATCCCTTCAGATTCGGGGTCTTACTTGAAAGATGAAATATCTCTTGGAAAGCGTGCGAAATTCAGATTCTTTAACTTGTGTGGTGATAAAACACTGAAGTAACTAAGAATTACCGGACGCCTCAGAATCACGAAAATTTTGTGTGGGTGAAATATCATTTTCATTGGAAATCCTCTGGCCTGGCATCGACTCATCCTTGATATTTGTCTTCCGGCGGTGATGATCCCACTGCATCAAAATGGCTCGATCTCTTCCACCCAGCGGGCCAATACGACCCCCCCCCCCTGCGACGTGTCGAGGATTCCTCAACGCACGCTTGACCCCGCTTGGAGGCCCGATGAAGCGCTCAAATAAGAACCCTATCAGACGGTGTCCAAGAGCGCAGCGTAGTGATGGACTGCGATGTGAAAGTGGAAAAGAAAGCAAGAAAAGCCATAGGAGACGCTAAGATTGAGGCCTTGGCCTCCAGCAAGGTCGAACGTAGTACGAGGGCGAGACAAAACGATTACAGAAGAAAGAACGCGCGAGAGAACATTCCGTTCGAGAGCGCGCCTGATCTCTACATCAATGGCGGTAGGTGGGAAGCGTTGCAAGAAGGCCGATGGTTGCAGCACCTTTAACGATTAGCGCCCTAACCGCGCATTTTGTGCGACGGGTGTGGTACGCTTTCTGTAGGGAAGGACACTACAAGTCCCCTCGCAGTATCCTCCCTACTAGTGGGGCTAATCCCAGGACTTGCATTTAATGTCCTATGCACCGCATAGTATCACATAACAACATTGGCTCTAGGTTTTCTGAGCGAAGAGTTTTTTATCGGGCTCCTTGCCATGAAGCACACAGACACTCTAGTTTCTCTTGAGGTGACGAGCCTCATGGTCAGATCAAAAAAAGTAGTGAGCCAATTGTTTCGACATTGTTTGCCAACTTGCTCGAATTTCTGTCCATTCGAACTTCTTTGTTGACTTGGCTTTTAATAATTCCATTCTCCTTTTACTGCAACAGTACTTTCACCTTCACTGCTTATTTGCTCAACTTCTTTTACGCATGTCCTACCTGCTCAATGATTCTGAACTCTCATGTGTTCCTCCAGTTGAGCGTTTGTGAGTGAATGTATCATGAGCTCATTTCCACCTGTTTTGTGTACAGTCTGACAACAGTCTGGAAATACACGTAACGATTCTTTTTCAGCTTCTGTCCAAGTACTCTCACTTAACTAATTGGGTTTGATTCGACGAATAACATTCAGATGGAGGTGGAACGTCACCACCACAAGCATAAGCAGCGAACCAGAATCGAATTATTCCAGGCTCACTTTGCATCCCAATTTTCTGATATCGACTAATTCCCACCAAATTCATCTGGGTGGAGGGAAAGCACGGGCTCGTGCTCCCAACGACTGTCTCAGGAAGTCATGCATAGGCCGGGAACGCGTCTTCGTTTTCCAATGAACGCGTAACACACCTTAAGAAGGTTGATCGATGAACGGTGCTGTTCGCCATCCTTTTTATTCTTAGACTGATTCTTAACCTTTCAAAATAAAGATACCGGTGTGTCGTTTGGTAACTTCCAGCAATGACCATTCATCTATGATAAAGAAGGTTTTTTTGTTTTGCTGCAGAGCACCAGGTATGAAAGCCCTCTTGCTGGGTGTGTTTCAAATTAACATTCATTTTACTCTGCGCTGTTGGTCTTCGCCTTAACAAAAGACTTTGGAGTCGAAGTTATCATCACAGCCGGCTGCAGCAGTAGAAACACCATCCATTAATTCTCAGACTATGACTTTTCCAAAATAAAGATACCGGTGTGTCGTTTGGTATTTTCAAGCAATGAAGAACGTTCAAGTACGAAAAATTAATGAACGACACGGGATCTGATCTGGCATTTCGTCGGCGAGCAATACCCGCGGTAGCGCTATTTTTGTCAGCACAGTAATTATCAGAAGGGGTATATCATCAAGCCTTTCAGCACGGGTGATACACATGTGAACTAACAGTAGTCAGGGTTAATAAGTACACGTTGACATGTTTCACTATGCTGGCGGTCACGTACTATCTTTCCATAAACGAAGCTGGACTGACCGCAGATCTTTGCTCTCTTTAAGTCCTCCGCAATCCCTTCCTACTTATCCTCTTATTACTGGTGTAAGTCCCCCTTTACGTCGTCACCTCCTCTTAATCCCGTGCTAAAATTTCTTTCAGCGGTAGTTTGGGTCCCCTATCGCATTACTTGTTTCTCGATTCTTGTTATCAGTTTCCCTTGTTGCCATCATTTAAAGCATTCCATAGGTCAACCTTCGAGAACTTCAGGAAACGTGCCCATTGCAAACGGCGATATTATTTTATCTTCAGTAGAAGAATAGTACTATCTGATGCCTGACATCTCAAATTGTTTCCAGATGTTGCCCAAAACCCTGCAACTGCACAGAATTCCCGCAGATGCCAGAAAATTATTTTATGCCTCAGGTCACCCCAGTTGCTGTTGCCTGAAGGCCTCAGGGCTGGTGCTCCGAGGGCAGAGGCCTGGTTCGTCGGGCAAATGAGTACCGATACCCTGTCCTACCGCATTGTAATTGAAGTCACAGAGTTGATTGCCTTTTTTTCTGTGGATCCTAGTGATTTTAGTAGCGGATTTGTTGATCTCACGGCAACAGCACAACAGCCGGGGATAACATTTCTCAGATATCAAGCGAATGGTGAGTAATTGTTTTCTCGTCTAAATGCTATTATGAGGCTCATTTCAAGCCGAACAGGGATTAGTGTGTTAAAACTAATCATAATGGTTCTTATGGGTTCTGCCAACACTTCTATTTAAGAACTCGTTGAAAAACGTTCCTGCCTCCATTTATGTATGTATTTATTTATGCACCCAGACAGACTGCGTGATATTGAGCAGTACTACAAAAGAAAAACCAAGACCACTTCGCCCGAAAAAGGATGTGGTCGGGCGCATGCAGGAAAGACAATGAAAACACATAATGAAAATGAGCTAGTAATTAGAAACACCTAACGCTCAGTGCATGAGACGTAGGCTCCTCCTTTTGAGCGGAAAGTGTCGGGTTGCAGACCAGGGTGACCCAGGACGACGGCCTACAAGGCTAGGGTTTTCGCCGATGATGATTGCCTGAGGGTAGTTCTATTTTATGATTGTACTGATTGTTATAGCTATCAACCGCATCAGCTGTCACTCTGAACAACTTTACATGATCCTGGGGCGTGTCGTTGCGGTGTTTTGGTCTGACCACGGAACACTTTCTCGTTTTGAAGGGGACCCGGGGTTATGTTAGAGACACCATTTGAGGTGGATGGTTTACTTCGAAGACGGCTTGGAATTAGGGCAACTAGGTTGACGTATCTCGATCAGAACTTGGTTCAGAGTACCAAGGCACCACTCTGACAGCAAGAACTTTGCTGTTAGGACATTTGCAAAAATCTCCGATTGGAGCCTGTGTTTATATCGTTTTGCTCCGGTTCGCCTTCATGTGCGAGTTGGGGTTCCCTTACTAGGTCCGCTCAATTATTGAGTAGTCATGGAATGTCTGAGCGCAAAATCTGCGTTTTCCTCACATTTAACCACACTTTTGTTTGTTTTCCGCTTTGTCTTTTTGAAATCGTAATGTGATTTTTACACTGTTCAATCTGGGGGTATACTAGTTTTCTTGCCAGTTCGAGAAAGCGTTGTCTGCACGGTCTTCGACGCTGTCGAAATGCAGCAGAAAGTGGAAGGTGATCGAAAGTAATGACTAAGCAGGTGTTAGGAACCTTGAAAAGGCTCGCGCTAGCATGGAAAATTCCGGATTGGGTTGGGTTGGTGCGTTTATCTAGTTATATTCAGGTAGTGGTGAACATGCTAGCATGATTTGAAATAAGTGACGATAATAGTGAAGATCCGGGCACGTAGCTTTGTGGGAGAACTGGGTGTTTTGCCAGGCACTACCGAAGTCAGCTCGAAATAAGAGATTAGCAGAAGCTCTCCAGTTGGTAACCGATGAGAACGGTATGTTGGAAAGGGAACCTACAATCACTTTCACGGAGTATATGAAGGTTAGCAGTTTTTCATTGAAATTGAAATCATCATTAAAGAGAGTTTGCACAGCTCAGTTTTACGTTTCGATCTGTAAAATATCGGCGGATTTGCCAACGATATCACTCGAAGAATTCATTCTCCAATATCACTAGCTAACTTACTTCAACTGCTTCGTGGTTCCGTGTTTTTTCGGATTGAATTTATCTCTAAAAATAGACTTTTGCCGCTTTCACGGTTATTTGGACAAGTTAGCCTAATACAATCAAGCTTCTTGCATCGATTTTGCGAATCCTGAAGTTCTAGACCTAAAATGAGGCCTTCTAGCCTTCATTTTAGGTGTGAGACTATTTACCCTTGATTGCCCCACTCCTTCGAAACAAAGCTGGATTGTTATCGAAATTTTTCCGTGAATGAGCACTTGGCTAGAAGTTGCCCGCGAGGGTAGTTCGTCCCATAGGACCCGAATATCACATTAGCCAAGCATTTTTGTGCTGAACTGATGTGATATTCGTGTTCTACGGGTTGAAATACCCCTGAAGACAAGTTTCTAGCCAAATCCACAGTCATGGACGAATTTCGATCAAAATCCGGCTCAGTTCTTGAGGAGTGGGGCAGTAAAGGGTAAATAGTGCCGGCCTTTTTCATTAGTAAATAAAATAGACACTATAGCAAGTTCTTCCAGGTTGAACTGCGTACTAATGCTGCTTTTGTCGTCGAGGTGGAGAAGACTTTCCTGGATCTCCTCGATAAAATAGGCGATGTGAGTTAGGCTTAGGCTTACTGAGGTTTTCGTACCTTATAGTAGATTGGAGCACATTTTGAGAATTCGTTTTTGCAGCATAGTGAGCATCCAAGGTTTTTAAAAAGCAATTCAGAAGATTACGAAAAGTCACAAAATTCTTCTCGCCTTGTCCGTCACATGCGGAGCTTTTCCCCTTCACCAAAATTGCAATTGCGCATTTCATTCCATTTTACACGGGAAGGCATAGCGGTTCACACTCCGCCCATATAATCATCGTGGAATATGCCTTTGAAACCCTTCAGATGCTCACTGTATTGTGAAAATTCAGCTATATGGAGCAGAACAACGCTTATATGGTTTTTTCATATAGTTTCTAATAATAATAATGCTTTCTTTAGCCAACATTCCTTGGCCCATCGTTAAACCACAATTTCCGCCCAATGTCTGTGGATAAGCGTCGCTTCATACATGAATATGCGGCGTTCTTCTCAATTGAAACTGCGGGTGTCGATGATCCACCGAAAAGAAGTGTTATAGCAACTGCGAGAAGGTATGCATTTAGATTTTTTATTTGAATTTGAAATGAGGCTCACTTATTCTTGTTTTCTAGTAGTAAATGGTCTTGCTTCAATCACCACATGGATGCTGCGTTAATGAAAAAAAAGGACTTTGGCGCGTCAGCAGTGGCGAGGTGCTACGGATTCTACTTCCATATAGGACCGTAGCGGCACTTTGAACTGATTTGGCTTTTGCAATGACCTGCGGGGACCAGCCAATGTTCGTGTCTGTTTTTATCCATCCCAGAAGGTCTGGCCAGGACGCATAGTGGTCGGACGACAGACAACAACGACCGCAGGTGTCGCATAAACCGCGGTTGCAAATGGAAGGCGACGCGGTCACCCAATGCTAACCCAGACAACACGTGACTGCGCGTGATCGTATTTCGAAAGTCCCACTGTAGTGTGGAATAGTAGCTGCGTATTGATCTACGACACTTACCGCGTCGCCTTCCATTTGCAACCGCGGTTTATGCGACACTTGCGGTCGTTGCTGTCGTCCGACAGCAGCGGTCGTAAGTGTCGCAGGTGTCGCAGATCGATACGCACCCAATGCTGTGCGACACTTGCAGTCGTTGCTGTCGTCCGACCGACTATGCGTCCGGCCTCTGGTACTTGAAGGCAGCGATTATGATAGGTACAGGAGAGTTTTGGGACGCTCGGGAGGGTGCTACATGTACGCTAGTGCCTGGGTTTGAAAAAAGGAGAGACGTTTGTTAAGAAAATGGCAGATGTTATCTCCTGTGGACGTTGATTTCCGCTCTAGGACGGGTGGCGACTAAGGCGGCGGACGTTTGGATGAGTGGACCGCAACGCGTTTGTGGCACCATGCCAAACCGTCTATAGTATGCTAATTTAAAATCGCCAACTGAACTACGGGGTCGAGGCTTTTGGGGCGGAGCGCTTTTTTGAATAGACCGAAGTACGACCCCAGGATTAGATCCCCGGGCCGTATGCGTGGAAAGCAACGCCATTTGCACTAAATCACTTCCGCCCTTTGATGCTTGATGTGGACACAAGAACCATGGCTCTATTTACTCTATATAATGTTACTTACGGGTTGTAGATGGACATTTGTCTATTTCACTTGTTTCCAGGGGAGTGAGCCGTGCACCACTGGTACTGCTAACATCTTTGCAAAAGTATCCCAATATGCTGAAGGTAGCGGGTTCAGTGACACTGAAAAGGTAAGCTCTTCATTGTCATCATTACCGTACTGCCGTCTTAAATGTCAGTATTGTTTCAGCAGCTTCAATGACGATCCGAAGCGAAAAGGTGAACAACAAACAGCTGAAGAGGCTAGCAATGCCGCGTCATCGATGAAAACTCTTCGTGGGGCTCGTCAGTTCAAGAAGCGCGTAGCTCCTCAAATAGCTCGCCCGTCACCGTTGCCACAGTTCAATCCGTTTGCTGTGCTGAGGAGTGACGACGAAGAGACAGATCCGCAGACTCCCAAGGCCAAAGTGAAATACGCTAAAAAAGAGGAAGCTGTAGAAAAGGATCCGAATTGGTGGAGCGATGAGGAGGAGGAGGTCAATTCGTCCGATGAGGCCTGCCAGGAAATTGTGGCACTGATGGAGGATCTTGTTGTTCGAGTGTGCAAGACGGAGGATTTCGGTGAACCCGTGGAAAACGAAGGTGTATCGGTGCTCTGTAAGGATTCATGGAGTGACGAGGAGTAGTAGGCGTTGTTATGATCACAATTCAACTCTGGTAAATATCTGTGTTGATTTTTAAGCCTTAAAGTTTTTTTTTTCTGTAGCTTCCTTACTTCAAGACTAGTAGCACTGAGGGTGTTTCTACGCTTGGCGAACTTGCAGCCAGCCTTTCGTATATTTCTTACGCCGGCTAACTGCAAAGTTCGTCGAAGTAGATCGTTACTAGGAAGGGTTCCGTGAGGCTCGTGTGAGTAATGCAGCCTCGTATTCTGTCAGCTCTGAGGCAAGGAGTTTGTGAAATAGATCGATTACTGCCATTAGCGTTTTACTTGATATTGCTGTCAGATTCAGTTAATACTTGTGTTATTTTGTTTTATTTCATGGTTATGTCAAATTATCGTTGAATGCCCTTCTCTTTCTTTCACGAGAATAAATTATGGTCCCCGTCGCAGACAGGCTCGGGTCTTATATGACAATTGAGCGTGCGGTCGCGCAGCGGATAGTTTGGATGTATGCGGCACACTATGGAGGTGAGCCATAGAACGCGCGCGTCCGACTGCCGCGTGCCCTCTGTTTCAGAAACTGGAAGCGCGTCGAGTGCAGACCACACACACATTGACGACGGCTTCCACAAAAAGTAAACTTTCTTTTGTCAATGAAATGTTCGGCCTGTTCCAGTTGTTCTCCATCAGTTACCATTAATTACAACTCTCATTTACCAATTATCAGCTGCTACTATGAGTCATTAGTTACCAGATTTACTTGGAGGCTGTCGTCACTTGTGCTGTGTGATCTGCAGTCGACGCGATTCTGGTTTTCTGAAACAGAGCGTACATCTTGGGGCCATCTGGTGTGAGTGGTGACTGGAATGTGGGGTCCAAGCTGGGAAAAAACCTGACGAGATTCCATTTCGATTCGTGGTTCTGTCTTTGGGGGCGGGAAATGCTGATCTTACTGAGACTCGGTTCAGTCTGTGACGGCGATTACTGGTTTTCTTTTGGTGTGTAGGGACACTGTAACTGTATTTGGGATTGCCTATGTTTTTTGGACGTTATAAATTTCTATCACTGGTTGTGACGCAGCATTTTCATTGAGCCTACACCGCTGATGAAAGGTAGCGGCAGCATGAGAGAAATTCAGGAATTTCGGATGAAATGTGAATAATTTTCATGAGTGATCATGATCAGCTCAGGTTCCTACGAGAAGTTAACGTCAACTAGATGCTATAGTAGGTGAACGCTGAGGTGACTAATGATGAGATTTACGGAAAGGTTCAGAAAAATTGGAAAACTTTTGTTCCTTTGCAATTGTTGAAGCGGCTTTAGCAGTGGAACGACCGGTAGGAGGGTTGGAACGGTTTTTCATAAAATGATTGGCTATCACTGGTGGAAGTGCGTTGGTGAGGTGTTAAACACAACCCCAGCCCTTAAGTATCACGTCTACCAAGTGGCGTCTCAATGAAGTTATCGATCTTCACCGCCAGCCATCGTGTTCACTGCCTTTGAGTTCCATATTCCATACGTGTCTATGGAGGGAGTCAGTTGAAGCAGGGCGCTTTTTTATTGTTGCTCCCTCTTATTCTATTTTGGGAGGATCCACCAACTAGAATGGCTTACAGCTGTTACTAGCTTCTCCTTATGTGTCAGAGTGGACTGGGTCTTTGATTCAATCGTTTCCAGTTGTGCAACGATTTTGGAAGAGCAGCGATGGATGAACGAGATCAGCTTCTAAGAGTCCGCGCTCAGGGAATCATTTGTTGAATCGAAAGCTAAGAATGGTATGAGAGCGGGAAAGTGCAATAGGTGGTTTTCCAATTTGTACTGTAACTTAAAGGCAAGATTCAGGATTGAATTATGAGTTAATTCCACTTAAATGTGAAAGTAGGGGTAGGTAGTGGACCGCCAGTGCAGAAAAGAGAAAAAGAAATCGTGAAATGCTTAGGAAATACGAGCCATTTGCTCTACGGTGCGGAGAAGTTCAAAAGGCCGGCAGGGAGATGAGAGATAATGTGAGCGCGGAGAGCGCTAGAGAAGTCCGAGTAGAGAGAGCATAGCAGATCAACATGCACGCAGTTCAAGCAGGGTGAATAACGGTCGAGGAAATCCTCGACCATAGCTCTCTACCATGCGAGAGTAGTGCCGAGAGTGAACATCCGCGCGGAGAGCACAGACGGCACGGCATGGCGAGTGTGAATGTCCGCGCGAGAGATCGTCTCTGATCGGGCAGAGAATCCTCGACGTGCCGTTGAGGAATCCTCAAGCGATATTCACCCTGCTCAACGATACTGAGCGGTGGGCGGAGCGTGTCGCAGCAGGTGGAGCGTGTCAAAGTTCTTAGCGCCTAGCGTCTAAATAACGGTTTTCGAAGTAGGGAAGTGACGCGACCCATACACTTGCGTACCTAGCGCTTCTAGCCACCGTAAAGGCTCATTAAGTGGGTCTGAGCCCGAACTTTGCCTTTTAATGGAATCTGGGTGTAATCCGTAGCATGTTACATTTGACATCATCCCAGCAGAATCGTGTCGAAGAATCTAATTAGTGGGTGGGATAGAGTAGCCCACGAGTATCGCAGATGTGCCGCTGTTGCGGATCAAAGTGCGCGACAATGGCGCTAGGGTCTTACCAAGTCATGTTTTGGCGACTGACCCTAGCATTTGGACGAGTTACGTCGCACACACCCCATGAAACGCATCGTGGGTAAGCGGCTAATTCAAAAACGCGTTAGTTGAGCGGTACAGGAGGCACGTTCATACAACTCGTCTGGCTCCGCCCCTTCCTCCTTTCCAGCATTTGAAGATACAAACATAGTCGGACAGGGGCATAAACAATGTGAAGGTATATTAGATCAACACTGTTACTGGAAGAGAATAAAATTGGAGAGAACACTCTAATTTAAATAGATAAATAATATAAATATGAATAGATAATACAAATAATAATATAAATATGAATAAAAACAAATAAATAAACTTAATCTGAAACTGCACGTGAACATTTGCACGTGCGCGTCCATTTTTCAGAATGCCACGCTACTTCCATTTGCACATTCGTAGTGACGTGTCGAAAGCGATTTGACCTACGCTGACTTGCTGGGGCCAGCCGATGTTCAAGCCAGGTGTTTTTATTCTCCCAGGACATCTGGTACCAATTAAACGACCCCCGGAAGGAATGAAAGGCTAGGTCTGCTTGGACGGTGTACAGTTCGGGATTTAAGCCCTAGGTCTGTGATCTCGGCGTATGCGCGGCGCAACACCGCTCTTGTACCTAGTAAAGGTTTAGGCTGATTGTCTTGAATAGTGTCCACTACCATCATTGTAGAGTACAATTTACAATTGCAATTTGGCGCTATCGCAAGATACAGGGGCATTCCCCAGGAATGAGCCTACTAATGGGCAGGGCCTTTTAAAAGAATGAAAATTGCTCGCGCATCTTTCCCTCCCCCGCCTAAGGCTTTGTCCCGACATCCACAAAAGGCGATTTCTTACACGATTCTAATTGTCTTACCACCACTGCCCCCATACAATGCGATAGCGCCTGCAATCTTGCAGTTTTATTGTATTGTTTCAGGTTGTACAGATGTGAAAAAGTCTGGAAATTCCAGGAAAAATTCTCACAGTGGTTAGACCAGAATGTTATTATTAGAATTTCCAATTTCAACTTGGTACGGCAGTCTAGGATTATTTGAGGGTACGAGCCGGTTTGGTTGGTGAGCCATTTTGTTCCAGCCCGACTTCGGAGGCAGGGTCAACCCTACGTTGCTACAAGTACCAACGGGGGGTCGTAGTTTGTTGAGTTTGTGGTGGGGGGGGTCGTACTTGTTTCGGTAGCACGAAATTACATGTGATGAGGTGAGAGCGCGCGGGAGAAAATTTGCCGTTTCAGCGTGCGTATATACCCCCTAGAAAATGTTGTAGTGGAAATATAGGTAAAAATAGGGAAAATAGAGGGAAAATGAGGGAAAGTAAAGGGAAATATAGGAAATTTTGCGGTTTCATGGTAGTTATATACCCCCCCCCGCTCGACGGTGTTTTTTGAGGGAAAAAGAAGTTGTGAAGAAGGGGTCGTATGAAATCTTCTCGTGAAGGAGGGGGGTCGTAAAAATTTTGCAAAAAGTCCCAACGATAGGACCGACCCTGTTCGGAGGTGAGAAGTATACTGGTTGAGCTGGAGCATGGTGAAGTAGACCAAATAATTATCCAATCAGAATTATTTCTGGGAAAGAATGCTAAGTATAGAAATATCGCCGCAGGCTAAATTGAACCCTTCTGGGTTTTATTTTCGACTTTTTTGTGCTTTTGTTTTGGAATAGACATTTGAAGCCTCACAGGGCTTTCCACATTTCTTAATTCCCTTGTTTGTTTATTGTTGTTTAATTATTCTGTTTCCTTTGACCTTTCCTTCGATCTACTGACCAATCCAACGTGTTGATCCATAATGACTGCTCTCGCCTCGCTGCAGTGATGCTTTTTTTATTGATTTTTATGTTTCAAGAATTCATATGTGATTTTACAATTATTGATTTGATTCTGGCACCGTTTAGAGTCGATCGTTGCGTTGGACGATGCTATACAAGGGGGGTGGGCATGCCGCATTTTTTGAACAGAAATGTATGAAAGTGGGACTGCTGCCCACTACTAT